GGAGTTTACCTTAGGAGGGGTTTGGGGGCATATCTATAACCTGCAGGGAGGGAAAGAGAAGAACAAGACAGAAGCAGTGAAGAAAGGTCACATGGGGACTGGGGCATTCCACCTGGGATGGAGTTTGGAGCCTGCCCAAATCCCGAAGGGAGGGGTAGAAGAGAACAGGAAAGAAACAGTGAAGAAAGGTCCTTTGAAGTGGGGGGTTGTGGGGGTGGCAGTGATTTGGAGCATTTCAGTTGGGAGAGGAGTTTTGGGGGCATTCCACTGTCCTTCGAACAACAACAAAAAAAAGTTTTTAAAAAGAAAAACAGCAATATTTGCTACTAAGAAAACTGCAACGATACCAAGCCCGGAGAATAAAATTAAACATGCCCACCATGGACCAAATTAAGAATGCTAAGTGTTGCCTGCTAGACTCGGTGCTGGTGCTGATGCCTTGTCGTCCACCGCCTCCTTCCAACCTCACAACGACCCTATAAAATAGGCATGAAGAATCCAACACCACCGACAAAAAAACTGAGTTACTTAATAGCAGAGTAATTTAATTTCTTCAGAGTTGGGATTTGAAAGGACTCTTCTCAGTCACCAAGTACGTGGCTTAAAAGTAGAGAGTATGAATCGAGAGAGAGAACTGCAAGTGGAACATAAGTGCCATGAGGACAAAGATGTTTATCTGCTTTGTTCAACGCTGTACCCCCGCACACCTAGAGTCATGAATACCTAGCGTGTAAAATATTTCTTTCATAAAGGAATAAATGTGTGCCACTGTGGTATGCAGACTTGTCAGCAAAGCGACAACAAATAAACCTTAGAGACCCATGTGTGTAAATGCTGTTGAAATCCTTCACCTAACTTCCCAGCACCTCACTTCGTTGATCCCCTGCATCGAGTGTACAAAGTCGATTCAGTATTTCCTCACATTCACAATGAGGACAGTGGTGCTAGGAAGGTAGAGCTACCTGCTAGGGTCAGTCATCCAGGTGGTCGGCGATCATGTCAGAGCCAGAATAATATCTACGCAATGTGGCAGAAGGAACATAAGACTCGGTCGATTCTAGTTTAAGTTCTGGAGCTAATATTGCCTAGAATAAAAAACCTGGATCATGAGCGTGATTTGGAATGAGAATTCCGAGGATGAACGTGGCCTTCCAATAGATCAAATCCTGTCCCATCAAGAAAGGCCTCCCACACTTTCATGGGCCCATGGTCACTTAACCAGCAGCATTATCTTGGGCCCCAGAAGACCTCTTCCAACTGAGGTTTCTCTGTTACATGGGATATATGCTGAGATGGGATAATATTAATTCCCAGGCAGGGTTGTTGTTCAAATCTGCTGAGATCAGAAAGCACCTAGCCCAGGTGATACACAGTAGGGGCCTACCAGACCCCAAGACCTCCATCCCTCGCACTGTCTCCCACAGGAGGCCTATTCTGACTGCTCCAGCCCACGCCTATCTGCCAGGACTTCAGACATAGGGGAACAGCTCTTTGAGGACAGCTTACGTCCAATCGTAGACAATGGAGGCCACACAACAATGGGACATCTTTAAAGAGCTCCTTTAAAAGGCTGTTAACCCTGAATTGTCTAGCCTGAGAAAATATTCTTTAAGAATGAAGGCAGAACACATTTTCAGATTAAAGAAAGCTTGTTACCAGCAGATCTGCTCAGCACACTTCCTAAGGGAAGTTCTGCTTAGAAGGAACTGATACCAGATGGAGACAGGTCTTCAGGAGCGAGTGAAACATACCTTGATAAACAAATGAGTTTATATTTATACAAAATGCTGGGAGGGAAATCCCACTCTGTCCCCATGTAGCTCACCTGTGTCGCCGGTACAAAAGCAAAGTGGACGCTGGAGAACAGTAGATTGTTAGAAACTTAATATGGTGGAATATTAGCTAGCAGTTCCCAATGTGATATGTTTACTGGAGAAAACTGCACACCAGGGGCTCAGGCCCCCCCCCACATTGCCAACCCATTCCTGTCAGTACAGATGATCAGAAGCAGTTGCCTTTGCATGGCTTTGCATGGGACAGCCGTCCACCTGTGGACCGTCTCAGGGTTACGTCAATTCTGCTGTCTGTCATAGAACAGAATGAGAGAACTTGACCGTTTTGAGGCCTCACAGTATATCTCACAGGTCCATTACAGCAAGAACATTCCTTAGCAAGATGTGTTTGTGAGGCAGCGTGGGAGACGGCCACTGCCAAAGCTCAGGGCCTTTGAATTAACCTGCTAGGGCACAGGACCACTGCTACTCCGGTGAGAGACGAATCACAGACCTCGCACTGCCTGCTGGATGCCTTAGGTTTCCCATCAGGATGCACCCGTCTCCACCCTGCTCTCCACACAGGAGGCTAGCCCGTGTGCGCCACATTAAGGGGTCCTCGCTCCCCTGGTTTCCTGTTGGGTTGCTCCCATGGGCAGCTCCGGTAGGCGGTCAGAGGAAGGGAGGAAGACGAGGGCCTCGGTAATGAGCTGCCTCTGCCAGCCGGTTCCCAGCAGAGAGCTGCTCTCTACAAGTCCCAGTAACTATCGGCTAAGCACGCCCCTGGCTCTGCGTTGTTGCTCTTCCCAGGTACCACCCCTTCCCTTGTGGCTTTGCCTCTGCCCGACCCACACTTTCCAGAAGACTTTACAAAGACCCCGTTAATTAATTACTCAAATTGAAAGGGCTGCTTCCTAACAAGACCCTAATGGACAGACCACATGAATTCTCCACCTCTCTGTCATGCCTGCAACTGATACAGCACTGTGGGTCCCGCGTGCAAACAGGTCTACGCAGATCAAGTCTACACACAGACTACTCATAACATATCCACATGGAACACACACCTGGGTGGGAAACGCACATATGGCATTTCTGGATGCTTCGTACAGAATATACATGGGCAACACTTGAACTCCGTGAACAAGGCTATGTGCTGGGGGGAGTAACTGCACTCATGCCTGGGACGCAGAGGCCCAGCTCACATGCCACCTTTCCTTCCACTGCCTCTGGCCAGAACGCGAGCTCTGAGGAGGGCAGAACCTGCTCCTGACTCACCTCTGCAGATCCCAGAGCCTGGCACAGAGGAAGCACTTGTATGTTAAAGGAATGCGTCACTATGCAAACGCTTTCCATCTTCCAGGGCCTGCCTGGAAGCCCCCACCCCCAGCCCATCGCTGAGCCCACCACCCCGCCTGCTGCGGCTGGGGGCAGCTTTGCCCTGGACACTGCAGCATCCAGCCTGGTTTTCACGGCCCCTTTCATCTATAATACTTGGTGGGTCTCTTTGATCTGTCCTGGGGGAGAGGCTGCATAGAGAAGGGGCCTGCATCTCTTGGCTGCAGCTGGCTAACAGAATAAAACAAAATGAATAGGCTCCATCCTCCTGGATGGGAGAGCAGCAGAGAAAAGGAGTAATAAAACTAATCATTTCTATTGGGTCTGGGGCTCCCTGAAGAGCCAGCTGTGGCTTGCAAGATGCCCCGTGCTCCTCGCTGGCTCCTGTGAGAGTTCCCAGCAGTGTGACAGTGCCACAAGTTTCCCAGACCCGGCTCGGCGCTGCATTAAAGACAACACGCGTGTCCGGCAGGCTCTGCCCACTGGGAAAAGTGAGCGAGGCCGCCAGGCCGTGTGACCAGCCTCCATCCTGACGCTCTGCTGCTTAAGTCTGCACATGACTCCTTCCTGTGCCCTGGGAATCGAGGCCCATCCACAGCTGCCTGTAAATGACCTTTCCAGACATACACAGCACTTCACAGTTTGCAAAGCTCCCCTGCTGTGGAGTGCCCCTCTGTGAAAACCACCCTAATCTCCCTGCCAGAAACGGTCGACCTGGCTTTGAACTCCCACTCTGGGATGCTGGGTGGACTGGACAAGATTGCCCCTGGCATCGGGCCACCCATGTTGGAGCCCTGACTCTGCCCCTTAGGGATCATGGGCGGTCACCTCCCTTCCCAGGCCTCCCATTTTCTTCTGTCAAGTTCACTGCAACACCAGTCTCCCAGGAAGGCTTGGCTGCTCCCTGAGCAGAAGCGGCCATCAAAGCCAGGTGCCAGGTGTATGTGATCCTAACTGTTTCCTCCAGCCCACAGCTGCCCGGGGCCGTGGACAGACGGCCAGCCCAGGGCAGGAGATGGCCACACAGACATTTGGGCACTGGGAAATCTGCTGGAAGAGAATGAAATATTTATAAAGGACATGCAAGGTTTTTGTGCTGGTAGGAATTCAATAGGCACAAATCCCATTAAAGAATGACTCAGGGTGGCTTTGGGAAGGGAGGTGCTGGAAAAGAGAGCTGCCCTCCGCCTCTGAGCTTCCTGGCTGGCTCCCCACTTCAGCTGCGACATGCACCCTGCTCAACCTCCCCCCCCCCGCGGTGGCCCTGCTCATGTCCCTAGAGGAGCTCCATGTGATTGCTAAAACCCAGGTGTCTGCAAACACCAGACAGGCAGGTAGATGATCAGTGGCCCCATGGGGGACGGATGAGAGGG